GGACAAAACAACGGGTTTTCTCGAAAACCGGGCTCTGCCGGAGCAGAGTTTCTGAGCCGAAAGGCTCTTTTATCGGGGCTTCGGGAGCCTCGGGGATTCCTTCGGGTGCTAGGGGGTTTACCTAGACTTTAGGGGGGTTAGGGAGCTTAGAGAGAGAGAGAGAGTATAGAGAGAAAGAAGAGGGTTGGGGTGAGGAAATGAGGGAACCCGTCACTCTTATTTATAGGTTGAATTCCTGATGGACTCGCCGAGTCGGTCCACTGACTCGCCGAGTCAGTGCCATGTGTCATCATCTGATGGCTTTCCTTGGAGAGAAAGCAACGGCTGTGATCGCGCCACGTCACCCAAACCCGCACAACACCCTCCCGACTTAGAAAAATCATAACTCTCGCATACGAGCTCCGTTTTCGACGTTATTTTTTTCCACGCGTAGGTAAAAACAAGATCTACAACTTTCATTTTGACTCCATCGGCTAATTCTCGACTGATTTTAAATTTAACAGTAGGAGGAGATTATACTGTTAAATGACCGCGAAAAATTCATAACTCCTTCATACAGACTCCGTTTTCGTTTGTCTTTTTATCTTTGAGTTCCTATTAATGAGATATTAAACTCTCATTTAGGTCGCGTAGGCCAAAAAACCGCTTGAACTAAAATTCGAGTTTCGGGTCGTGCACTGCTATGCCAAGTCTTAGAAAATTCATAACTTCCTCATACGAAGTCAGATTTGGGCGTTCTTTTTTTGTATGTTATCGGTTTAACGTATTCTACAACTTTTGTTTAGATCAATAAGGCTAAAAGTTGCTCTATCGTAAATTCACTATTTACGCTTCCCGGTGTCGTGCCGATTTTGCCTTAAAACTTCGACGAGCCATAACTTATTCGTTATAACTCGGATTTCGGCGTTCTTTATATATACGGAACCCTTGAGACATATTCTACAACTTGGTTAAGATTATTTATTCTAAATAATATTTTGTCGAAAAGTCGTTTTCGACCCCTATTATTTCTAAATTGACTAGCCCGGATCTACGGGCGTTACAGATTTACAAATACAGAGCACATTAATAAATATACATTTTGGTCTTAAGGCCTAAGACTACTTTTCACCACTAAAAAAATATTGGATTTTCTTGAGGAACATACAAACATTTTCAACGATTCAAAGACATGTTTCCATTACAAAAACATACTTATGAACTCACCAACTTAAATGTTGATACACTTTCAAAATCACTTGTATTCTCAGGGAACCGTTAAGGCAGGTACACCCATAGGATTTTGAGAAGACGGAGCTTTCAGAGTTTCATCTTTTACATTTTGTTATACATTTTGATGTCAAACAAACTACATGTTGAATAGATGTAAATACAATACTTTATCAATGTAATGGTTGTGTTGCTTTGATTACTATTATACAATTGTTGTGATACTGTACATGACGTCCTCCACCCCCGAACGTTTTTGCCATCTCGGTTTGGGGGTGTGATAGACACACCCAATAGTGTGCCCGAATCCCTCAAACCAAGGCTCTGATACCAACTTGTAACACCCCAAAAATCACAACCAAAAATTTCATTTTTAATGTATTATCTATAAAACCATTTGTCTGAAAAATATAAAAGTGTCAAGCCATATCCAAACCAATGTATCATCAAACAATAATGTCATGATAGAATAATAATGTCAGAGTACAATCCCAAGAACATCATAGTGTGGAAATACTGGTGTGATGCGCTGCAGTCAAGTCGGCTCCTTTCCCCTGGAAGAGGCAGTACCTGAAACCAAAACTAAAAACCGTAAGCACAAAGCTTAGTGAGTTCCCCCATCATACCACATACTACATACACCCTTAGTATCTTTCAACCGGTAACTGCCTTCGGTATCTTTCAACCGGTAACTGCCCTCGGTATCTTTCAACCGGTATCTGCCTTCGGTATCTTTCAATCGGTAACTGGGGACTATTCCACCCCTACCACTACCACATAAGATCATATCATAAACATACTGCTAGGCATACATGAGTACTGTCCACCCCTTCAGTATCTTTCAACCGATATCCGGGGACTTATCACCCCTGCTACTATCAACACACATATAAGGCATCCCAACACACAAACATATCAGATAGTGGCAACCAGACAATTATCACACATACAATTATCTAACAACATCTCCTACTAGTGGGCCATCATTGTGGCCTTAGACCCACTTATACTGGAAGGTAACTCACATCAACGTCGTGTAGTAGCTGAACTTCCCTCAGTGCCGAGATCTACTCATCTCAAACTCCTAAACATAACAATTCCTTTCAATTACCCTTCCATACTTATAACCCCTTACAAGGGTCAACTCAGGTAAAAGTCAAAGTCAAGGTCAACACCTTGGTCAAAGTCAACATATTGGTCAAAATCAACATCTTAGTTGACTCAACTCGCTGAGTTGGTCCATCAACTAGTCGAGTTCCTGGGCCCATAAAACTCCGGGGTTTCGACCCTACTCGTCGAGTTCACCCATAACTCGTCGAGTCCTCCTTCATGCAAGTCAAGGCATTTTACTCACAACTCGCCGAGTTCATCCTTGAACTCGTCGAGTTCATCTTCATCTCAGATGGGACATTTTCTCTCTACTCGCCGAGTTCATACATGAACTCGTCAAGTCCTATGATCTTCGAGTCCAAAACCACGTCTAACTCGCTGAGTCACCTCCTAGACTCAACGAGTTCACTCATAACCAGAAAGGTTGGGGGAACCACGACCCGACTCGCCGGGTCGTATGAACGACTCTTTGAGTCCCCCATATGCTAAATCCATACAGTTGATTTTACTCGGGCTTAATGCATCCAAAACCTAGATCTAGCCTTCTAGGGTCGATATTACACGTAAAGTTACAAACTTTACGTGCATGCAAGGTGTTATGAGCAAAAAACACTATTTCCATGCCTAAAATGAAGTCTAGCCCCAAGGGAAGAGATAAATTCGAGAACTTTATAGCTATAGGGGCTAAAAGGGACCTGGGTCTGAAGTTACAACTTCAGATCACACTCAATAATCAAAAGGGTTCACAAAGATGTCAAAAGATAGCCTTAACCTGAGGCGTAGCTATAGTATACCAAGGTGGGTCCTAGGACCCACCTAATTATCTTAATTGCAAGCCTAATTATATTGCAAAAATTTAGGGGAACTACCTTAAATTTTTTGAAGGAACTACCTAATAATTTTTTTATAAAAACAAAAATAGCATAATGCCTAAACCAACTTAAAATTTATCCAACAAAAATTAGTCCAATCCATTAAAATTAAAATTAAACAAAATTAATAATAATAAACAAAAGCCCACAATTGAATCGTCGCCAACACTTTTGGCTTTTGCGCATATGTGTTGCACGTTGATTCAGCAGAACGACCAACTATGAAATTTTATCATGTGAAAAGGATGTATTAGAAAGTCTCGATTAAGATATCATTATCAATATATTTGAAGCTATAAACCCTCGTCGGATACAATTCTAAAAATGATAAAATTTTGACCTGACCCGCTACTTGTATATTTTAGTTTGTTATATGTTTCAGGGTTATTTAAATAAGGAACCACGTGGTTTTAGGTTCTAAATTCGCCATTGGCCTTAACTTCAGCTATGGAGGAACCTAGCAATAGAGGAGTCAAGGAAGCAACTTTATACCTCAAAAAGACTGGAAAAAGAACTTGAATCATGGATCTATTGCTTCCTTGAACCTTCTAGCTCTTCCTTCTTCTTCTTCTAGCTTCAAGATCACACAAATATCCTCAAGAATGACACACACACACACACTCACAAATGCTCAAGGATCACGTTTTAGGGTTTAATGGGCTTAGGGAGACGAGGGGGGGGGGGGGACTAAATGGGGATGATAAATGTGTTTAAATAGGGTGCAAACCCTGAAAATTAGGGTTTCACTCAGACAGCTCTACTCGTCGAGTAGGTGACTTATGTCCCGCGTCCAAATCTCATCCTACTCGACGAGTTGGGCTCCCAACTTGTCGAGTCCCGTCACAAACAAAAACAACTTAAATTGAAATACGTACCAGGAATCGGGGCGTTACAATTGTAAAGGAATATAAAATTACCCAAAGATTCCGTGTGTAAGCTTTGCAAGATAGCCAAGAACAGTCATACTTGTTTCACTGTAAAAAGTCAAAAAAAAATCATATAAACCAAAAGTCTAATATGAATTAAGCAGAAATACCAAACAACAACTTTGAGGTTACCCTTTTCAAGCTTTTCTGATAAATGATACACATTCATTTGTTCCTAATTCACCAATTCTGATTCGATATCCCTTACCTAATTAGTGATTAGTAATCAATTAACAGAGAGGGTAAAAGTACTAAATCCCTTACCTGAATTATGATAAAGTCGCTAAATGTTGAATTGATGATGATCAGTTGACAATCTCTTATGCCTTCTACCGCGTTCTTGGCTTGTGATGCGTGCTCTGCTTCTTGGATTCTCAGTATGTCTAACGTTTGCTTGCTGGTCAACGATTTGTACTTAGACACTAGGTCCGATTCAATACAGTATAAAAAAATTGGGCCCCATCAAAAAATGGGCCCCGTTCCTATGCCCATTTTGCCCATGCCTATCATCGGGCCTGCAAGGATCGATGATTGAATTTTTGATTGAGTAGGACATGCTGTACTCCTAAGTCATAATTTATTCACAAATATTAATTTTTAAAAATATAATATATATTGGCAGGTTGAAGCACGAAGTCAAACACATGATCCAACCCGGTCTACGAAATAAATAGGTTGACGGGTCAGAATTTTCAATTTAACCATATTTATTTTCGTATAAATTCGTGTCATGTTCCATATTGGACTGGAAATTGTCAACATGAGTCAATGTATCATGTAGGTGGCTATTGCACTCGAAACTTATGGCCCAATTCGGGAGGCCCAAATATCTTGGTTTCGATAAAGGACTAAGTATGCAAACTAACAAACAGATTAGAGACCAGTTTTGCAATTCACTACTTTCAATTTTACTGGAATCTTAAATTTTTCAATGTAGCCCTTGTACTTTCAATTTTACTGGTTATTTGATGAATTTCAATGGAGTTTCTCCCAAAATAGAAGAGAGCCCAGTTCAAATCCCACCCTTCACTCTCCATGGCGGCACCCAATCGCTCCCCTATGCGTGTTCTAATCCGTCCTCCATCATCTTCTTCTATCACTCTTCCTTCCACCACCACTGTTCTACCACAACCCGCTGCCATCCATCAACCACCACCACCACCACCATCGGCTCTTCCACCTCTTCCTCCCCCTCCTCCTCCTTCAACAACATCCCGGCAAAACAGCGTTGTCGTGGTCGGATTCGTTGGCCGGCGCAAAGGTGACGTGAGTCAATTAATCAACCGGATTATAGATGCCAATGTGTTTCGTTCCGGGGATGCTGACGTAGCATTGGGGTTTGAGAAAACAGGGGAAATCGTGACGGATGAGGTCAAGGATTGGTTTAAGCAAAGACAAATTAGTTATTATCATGAGGAGACAAAGGGGGTTTTGTATTTGCAGTTTTGCTCCACCAAGTGTCCGGTTATGGAAGGGTTTTCGGAGGTCCCAAGTGGGTTTGATTCGGTTTTTGAAAAGCAGGAGTTTGGGGATCTTCAAGGGATGCTGTTTATGTTTTCTGTAAGTTTGTTTGAACCAAATTCACCGATTTTCTGAGTGATTTCGCTCTTTTCTTTGCTTTAAGACTTTGAGTGTTGCCTTAGCATCTGTTTATTGTTGTTTGGTTTTGTTAATACGTGATTGCAATTTGGATATGTTTATATTGAACTGAATAAATATTATATGAACTTCATTAAGATCTAGATTTCTTGGTAACAAGGCTAACACCCAATTCATTAGGTGTTTTTTTGTCTATATTTCTCTTGGATTTGCCTCATTCTTTTAAATTAGTTTAGATCACCACATTGATTCTTGAATAACCTTACTCAATTTGTTATTAACTCATTGTGATCATGAACACAGGTTTGCCATGTGATCATATTTATGCAAGAAGGCTCACGCTTTGATATCCAAAATCTAAAAAAGTTTCGAGTGTTACAAGGTGCTAAACATGCAATGTTTCCATTTATCAAATCACAAACACTACAATCAACAACATCAAGATCACACACATCTTCTTCTTCACACACTTCTCCTTCAAGAACACCTTCAAAAAACCGTTCCCCTGGTAAAAATGGTCCACCCATGGCTCGCAATCCTTCATCAGTCTCATTAATGTCAGGTTTAGGCTCATACACATCTTTATTTCCAGGACAATGTACTCCAGTTATACTCTTTGTTTTTCTTGATGATATCTGTGAATCTGGTTCTTCTTCTTCTTCTACTTCTTCTCCTTCTAACCCAGATGAGTCAACTCAGTCTAGATCAACTTTACCCATGAAAGGATCTGGTTCAGTAGTTGTACTTTCACGCCCTGTTTCAAAACCAGAAGGTGGTTTCAAGAAGAAACTACAGTCATCTCTTGAAGCACAAATCCGGTTTTCAATCAAAAAATGTCGGGTACTTTCGGGTTCTGAAACGGGTCCTCCCGGGTCAAGAAATGGACCCGGACCCATTTCAAGTCACATGCCTTTGTTTTCACTTGATGGGTCTAAAGCTGTTTTGCTTCTTGATAAACTCTCAAACAATTCAGGCGAATCTTTAGAGTTTGCCAGTAGTATTGTGGAGAATGTTCTAGAAGGTATCTCAACTTCAGACTCACTTCTACTTGAAACCCATAGTCAAAGTTCAAATAAAGAAGACATTCTTTCTTTAAAGGAGTTCATTTACAGACAATGTGATATTTTAAGAGGTCGAGGGAGTATCAGTGTCTCTGGTGGTGGTGGTGGGATGGTGGCGGTGGCGGCTGCTGCAGCTGCCGCCTCGGTAGCTTCCGGAAAGCCGCCGCCTTTAACTCCCGATCTTCCATCTCTTGATGTCTGGTTGACTTCCAGTCAAACCATTTTACATGGGCTTCTTTCTGCTAAACCTGTGTTTATACCTGAATCTGAACAAACCAAAAGAAGATCAAGACAACGAAATAACGTTTCAGTTTCAGTTATTGAAGGAAGTCAAACAAAAGTCAACGACCCTTTAGAACTTGCAGCAACATATTTGGATAACAGTAAAGGGCTGAATAGTAAATTTTCAATTTCTTGGTGTCAAAGAGCTTTACCTGTTGCTAAAGATGTCTACTTACACGATTTGCCACCATGTTATCCAACATCACAACACGAAACCCATTTGTCAAAAGCTTTGACTTCTTTTAGGTCAATGGTCAAAGGTCCAGCTGTGGATTTTTATCTGAAAAAACTGGAAAACGAATGCACATCGATTTGGATTTCGGGTAGACAACTATGTGATGCAGTTAGTTTAACAGGAAAATCATGTATTCATCAAAGACATGACTCTTCTTTACCACATTGTAGTGGTTTTGTTTTTCTTCATGCGTGTGCATGTGGGAGATCAAGGAAATTACGATTAGACCCTTTTGATTTTGAAGCAGCTAATGTGAACTTTAGTTGTTACCCAGAATGTGATAAACTTCTTCCTACCCTTGTTTTACCAGAAGGGAACACAGAAGGGCCTATTCAGTCAAAATCTTGGAGTTTGACTCGAATTGGAGGATCAAGATACTATCAACCTTCAAAAGGGCTTCTCCAAAGTGGGTTTTCAAATACAGAGAAGTTTCTTCTAAAGTGGAAATTTTTTCTTGAAAAACACAAGGAATTCAGTAAAGATTCAAGGGTTGAAGTTGTTTCAGATGTAAAGGTGAAAAAAACAGACAATGGGGTGGAGATTAATTCTAAATCCAAGAATCTTGATGACAATAAGAGTAATTCCACTAAAATTGTTCCTAATTTTACAATGAAAAAGCCTTTTTCTGAAGTTGTTGCAGGATCATCATCTACAAGTTCTGGGTTTCCTCCACTTCAATTAAAAAAGAAAACTTTATTAACTTTGGAAAATGTTAATAAAGAAAAGAACATTGGAGAAACACCACATGATAATCAAGAATCTAAAAAAATCGGGACTTTGTCTTCTGTTCATGAAGATGGAAACGGGAACACTAATGGCAATCCGTTTCTACAAAAGGGTAGTTTTGGTAATTTGTTAAACATGAATGGTAGGGAGAACAATTCTTTAAATCAGGTGGTGGTTTACATTGGATTTGAGCATGAATGTCCATGTGGACACAGATTCATATTGACACCAGATCATCTAAAAGGGCTTGGATCCATTTATGCAGTGGATGAATCTGCTGAAAATAATTTGGATCGTAGAGGGGTAGATTCGTCAAAGATGGGTAAATATGGAGGGCATGGTAAAATCCATAGACACTCAAATAGAATGATGAATCCTGGTGTTAGTAAGGTCAGAAATCCAGTAAAGTCAAAAGAAATAGGGAGTAATGGTAATCAAGGACAAAATGGTCACAAAGATATTGAAGGAAGTCTTGAGTCAATGATTCTTGATGATGATGGCAATGGTGTTTTTCCTTTACTAAATAGAAACTTACCATTGTACCTAAATTGCCCTCATTGCCAGATCCATAAGAATAAGAATGATTCACCAAATGTTCAATTTGCTGGCACTATTTCACAGCTTCAGAGAATATTTCTGGTAAGAATTTGATTTTACTTGCTTCTTTTTTATAATTATTTAATTGCATCAATTCCTTTTTAAGTTTTAACTCATTTAATACAAAAAAGCACAACATTTACATAACCTTCACCCTTTTACTGATTTCACCACTTAAATATTTGGGTTAATCTCATCAAAAACCTTATATTTTGTGTTTTTTATTGATTAAACCTCAAACTTTATTTTTTTTTTTCCTGAAAAAGACCTTGTATTTTTTTCAATTTTTCAAAAAAAGCCCTCAACTTTGTATTTTTTTCCGAAAAAAACCCCTCAACCTTCTAAATGCTTCCAAATAAACCCTCAATTTATTTTTAGTTTTTCTCGGAAAAACCCTCACATAAGGTCTTTTATGAGATTAACCCTAAATAAGGTCTTTTATGAGATTAATCCAAAAAAAATTGTAAAATGTGAGGGTTTTTTTCGAGAAAAACTAAAAAATTTGAGGGTTTATTTGGAAGCATGTAGAAGGTTGAGGGTTTTTTTCGGAAAAAAATACAAAGTTGAGGGCTTTTTTTGAAAAATTGAAAAAAATACAAGGTCTTTTTCAGGAAAAAAAATAAAGTTTGAGGTTTAATCCGGAAAAATATAAGGTCTTTTATGAGATTAACCCTAAATAATTTTATTTTACATGATGATGAAACCATTATGCTTTTTTTGTAATTTTTCCCTGATATCAGGTAACTGGAAAAATGTTATTATTATTATTATTTTTATAAAAATGGTCAAAATAAAGTATAATGGTTTGATCACTACAGATAATATAATGAAATACTAGTGCATTTCTGTAAAAAGATAAAAGTATGTTTTGCTCTGATATCTTAGAAAAATGGTTTTTTTCAAATCGGTTAAAATAAGTAAAATGGTTTAATCACTAGTCACTACAAGATAAAATGGCAAAAGTACTTTTTTTTGCCCTAAATCTTTATTTAATATAATGCATAATAATATAATAACTCTATGTGTATTCTGCACTGCAGGTTACACCTCCCTTCCCTGTTGTCTTGACTACATGTCCAGTTATTCAATTTGAGGTACCTCTAAAAAATGAAATAATATATATCATCTTTTTATAAAAAAATGATTAATTAATTAATGGGGTCTGAAAAAAATGTCCAGGTGTCATGTCTACCTCCATCAGTGGTTGACCATCACCATGAACAGAAACTGCAGTTCAGCCTTGGTTGTCCGGTGATATTGCCGCCAGAGAGCTTCCTCTCCCTCAGGCTTCCATTTGTTTATGGAGTGAAGCTTCAAGATGGAACTTTTCATCCTCTCAAACCTTTTCAAAATCAACCAGAGTTGACCGCATGGTTGACCAAAGGCACAGCTTTACAGGTTTTGTCAAAAGGAGCACTACCCAATCTTGAAGTCATCTAACTTTTTTGTTGAAACTAATCAATATCTGCAACAAAACCTGCAATTTTGCCTGCTTTCAGGTGATTATTAATATATAAAATAATTTTTTTTTATTAAAAATAGTGTTTCTTGAATCTTGATGATGTTTTGGGGTGCAGGTAGAGTTTATATTGGTTAATTTGGTGATCCAATGATGATTGATGATGATGATGCCTGTGCTACAGTGATATCAGGTGTTGCCCTTTTTTATAGATTTAAAAAAAAAAACTTGCTTTTGTAAGAGTAAGTTACAATTTTGGTCCCTGAGTATAGCCGGTTTTTGCAATTTCATTCCCAAAAAAGCTTTCTCATACAATTTTGGTCTCTATTCTAAGTAAAAATTAATTATTTTTATCTTTGAGTATAGTTAGTTTTTGCAATTTTGGTCCAAAAATAGGTATTCTGTTTACATTTTGGTACCAAAATTGAGTCAATTTATTGGAACAGGGACTAAAAAGTAAAAACCTCAAATAAGGACCACAGTGCAAGAAAAACCTTGTTCGGACCAAAACTGCAAAAATCAGCTATACTTGAGGGACTAAAAATGTAATTTACTCTTATTCTAATGATGGTGTTTGTTAATTCTGTTTATGGACCATAGGCCTCTCTGGAAATGGTTGGTGTTTTGTGGGATTCTTGAGCATAACCAGGTTGAAATGTGTAAGTACCATTTTGACCTTGATTCTTTATCACTTAGAAACGATTAAAGATTATTGGGTTTTGGATAATCTTTTTTTTTTTTTTTTTTTTTTTCTTTTTAATTTCATGGAAATAGAAAGATCTACAATAATGCCAAGATTAAGAGGTGCAACGGCTTTTGGGAATTGGGAATCATGAAAGAAATGTGAAGAGAAGAGAGGCCGATTGCATTTGCATGACATGAGAGGAAGGAGAAGGGTTGTTGGAATTTGGAAATGGGAATTGTTTGGAGTTTTTTGGGTAATAATTGCTCATGTTTAAAGATATAATAAAGTGATATTTAAGATTTGCTTTGAGCATATAACTATTTGGGAGTTTATTGTATTCTATTTCTAACTATAAACCGGTTTATGTTTTCAATGTATTAAACCACTTCAATTATGTTAAACTTATTTCATTGCTATTCGTGTTCATCTTTGGTAAAAAGTTAGTAAAATCGATTTTTTCTAATTAGTATTTTGTTTTTACAAAATTAAATAGGGAAATTGTCAGAAAAGTCCCAATATTTTCGGAAATGTTTTATTTTAGTCCAAATTTTTTTTTGAACATAAAGTTTCCATTATTCCGCTCAAATTAAGAAAAAAATCATTTTTTTTCTTTTTATAGGAAATGACATATTATCGTGTAAAATCAAATAATTGGGATTTTTCTGTTAAAAAATAAATAAATTGGGATTAAAGTGAAAATTTTTCAAAAATATTAAGATTTTTCTAACAGTTTCCCAATTAAATAAATTAATTTTTTGTATTTTTGTTTCTTGATTTAACTGTCTGAATGAGATTATTTTATTTTATTTTTAGATTATAAAAACTAATTAAGTTATTTTGTCATATTTTATAGAAAAAATCTCAATTTTTATTTTTTGAACATATTATCTAATATTTTGTCAAACTCACCAAAAAATTCTTATATTTTTAACAGAAAATGATAGATTATCGTGTACAAGTAGATCATCGACATTTTTTTATTAAAAAAAAAGTTGAAGCTTTTCTATAAACGAAGACAAAATAATAAGATTTTATAACAATAATTTAAAATAATTTTCTACATATTTATCGTAACTTTAAAATGAGAGGGAGAAAGAATAACAAATAAATAGCCAAATTGGTGGACCCTATAGATAATAACAAGGCTCTAACAATGAATAGATAAATACGGGATAAAATAGTCAATTTCATAAATTTAACTTTTGTTTGTCGACGGTATGAGATAATAATAAAGGCTCTAGTAATACACTAATACTACAATTTCTCCAACTTTAATAATAAAATTTAATATTGCACGTGCTATAATTATAAGACATTTAAAGGCTTTTGATTGAAAGGAAATCATTTCAATTTGTGGCATATTATTATTTTGGTTTCAAAATATTTAGAAAAAATTATCAAGAACAGTAACACGAGTGGCCCACATTTACAATAATGACTTGGGTAGCTGGTAATCAAATAGAAGGCCAGCCTGGATAAACACTATGACTTGGCCCAGTGGACCCTACGTTCACAGGCGACCCGTCCCATCCACTCACGGTTTATATTTTTGTTTTTTAAATATAAATCGTAGAATATATATATATATCATTATTTATCATTTTTTTTATGTAGAATTACATTAAAGTGGTTTTAAACTATAAATCAAAAAATTTATTTTTTCTTTGTTTTTGCCCCCCTCCCCGGCTCCCCCCCCCCCACCCAAAAAGTATTCTAAATGGGAAATAATTGCTGTTAGAGTTTTCAGAATGAGAGAGTAACAAGAATAAAATGACAACTCTAGAAATATTTAATTTGTGCCTTTTGATTTCATAAAAGTTTCAAACTTTAAATGTTTGGGCATCAATAATGTCGGCCAAACTAGCCAGACATCATAGGAAAGATAACCTTTTTATTACTATTTTTTTTTTTTTAAAGAATAACAAGTTAGTATATGTTTGAGATTGAAGCTATAACCTCCTTGTTAGAAGCACCTTATTAGACACCATATTAACCAAGTGAGTTAGCCCTCTAACTTGTGAAAGATAACAACTACGACATGATTCATGCATATATCCATCCATGGATTTAAGTTCATTTAAGGATAAAAAACCAAAATTATCATATGCAAACATGTTAAGAGACACTTAACAGTTGTGAATCGTGATCCACACTCTTGGTCTATCATTCCTCTTAAATATTAAGTCGACTGGGCATGCAAATACAAGATAACTCTTATGGGAGAACGGAGAATTATCTAATATCAAAATGCTTTTAATAGGTCGTTTAATATTAGATTTGATGAACACAATGTAAGTTATGTTAGAGATATATATGTCACGCTCCACTTCCCGACTGAAGACATTCAAGAAGGTATTGTCGGAAAAGAAAAAAACATCCTTGAGACTATGGTTTAACTGATTGGAATCTTGGACCAAAGAATTCATATGTGATAAAAGGATTGTATGGATTCAAATCCACAACTTACCCCCACAAGCATGGTCGATATCCCTTCTTTCAATTGTTAGAAATTTTGGCTAGCTCCTCATTCCATTCTCCTGTACATACATTGTTGATAACATGGTGTTTGGGCGGGTTTGTATTCTTTCTCAATCAAAGGCTCCTATAAAATAAACTCTTCCAATCGACTTAGATGGTAAATGTCTTCAAGTGTGTATTATAGAGATATCAAATGAAAGCCTATCCCACTTAAATTTCTCCGGTGAATCTTTTAAGATGATTTATCCTCTTTGATTCTCACTCCTTTCATTTACATAAACTAGATGACTCGAAAAGTATCAATTCAAAGGAGTTTTATAGTCAAGAATAACGAATCATAATTAAATCAACAACTGTTTTTACTCCAAATAACTAAAAAAACTAGTTTTACCAATATCTTATATAAGATTCGTCGATTCAGGGTCAGGGTCAACCATCAATGACAAAAGGGCATAATGACGCTAGAGAATTCATATGCAGTGGATAAAGGGGACAATTTAACTTTAAGAAACCTCTTGATCCCCATCTTAACATTTGGAATTGTTGCGTACGAAGGGAAGATAAAACATTATCTAATATTTATGAGAAACCTCCTACAATTATTCCAAACCTTAATGACTTGTTGATGGGCGATTCAATATTAGTATTTGGTGGGAAAATGATATGGGTATCACCCATACCCGACCCAAAAGAACCATCAGGAAACCCTCCCGCTATGAAGATTAAAGGACCCTTGAAGACCAGGTCTTGTTGATCATCAGTTTAGATACACGTGAAGTTGAACTCTTCTTATTTCCATGTTTTTAGCTCCACTAGTGTTTTCATGAATAAGTCCATGCATGATTGTTTCAATTCCTAGAATTGAGTAAGTCATATGACAACTATTAGTCATTAAATTGCAATTTGCTTTTGGGAATTAATCATCGAAAATTGCTCCAACTTTTGTCTTTCTTCTCTAATATTTATGTGAAGATTGATCCTCTCAAACAAGGTCTTATAAATTAGGTGTTTTCATTGCCTTCTTCCTCAATTATGCCTCCAAAACACGAGTCGTCGCCCTCCTCCTTCACCACTGACAAATCACCCTCGCTCAAAGCTTCCATGGCATCCATAGTCGAAAACATTTCTCAAATTGTTACCTCTTCCACTGCCAACCAAACAACCACACAATCCCAACTTGGCATCATTATGAAGCATCTAACTGCTCAATATGAGCAAAAAAATACCCTCCTAGCCACACTAATCAAACCAGAATAGAAACCTTCCTCTAGTAACCCACTGAAATTCGAACGCAAAATAGGTCCCAACGACACACATATGTGTCCACCCAAGCTTACCATGGCTACCTTTGACGAATCAAATCCACTAGACTGGTTATTTCAAATGGACCAATATTTCACGTTCTATAACACCAACCCACCGGAACGTCTCACAATGGTGGTTGTCTATCTCTTCGGTGACGATTTAAGATGGTACAAGTACCTTTTCAACAATCAATTACTCACCACCGGGGATGCCTTCACTAGAGCCTTGGAGACCCGTTTTAGTCCATCCACATACGATAACCACCAGACAACCCTATTCAAGATCCTACAAACAATCAATGTAATGGATTATCAAACATAATTCAAACGTTTGAGTAGTTGTATCATTGGGTTACCTGCCGACGCCCTCCTCAATTGTTTTTTGTCGGGTCTCCGTTCCGACATCAGCCAAGAACTGGCAGTACGCCGACCCACCACCATTACACAAGCAATGGGATTAGCCAAATTAATTGACGAAAAACTCAACAACAATCGATTATGCTTCCGGTACGTTCCATGTTACCGTCCATCACCATCTCCGACTATTTCCAGCACCGCCACTACTACCACCAACAATTCTACAACCACTCAAAAGCTACAAATAACCAGCCTCCTTCCCACACCGATGCAACCAACTCCAAACCTCCCATTCACTCGTCTCTCACCGCATGCCATGTAGAAACGACGTGCTACTGGACTTTGATCACCGTCAAATACTACCCGTGTCATAAGTGCAACCCATCTCAGTTCCTGCTGGTGGTCGATAACGAAGAGACACCCTTTGTGTCAGACGAAATCATCCAGTAAACAATCGACCCGCCTTATCTTTCCAACGATGAAATTCCCGACGCACAAATTGCTGATAACATCTCCTAATTTTTGACACTATCTTTGGTAACCCTCCTAGGGTCGACATCTCCCCGTGATCATCACATTACAGTTCACATTGGCGGCCAACCGGTGACTATTTTGGTGGATTGTGGTAGTACACATAATATCTTATAGCCTCACATCGCCAATTCCCTCAATCTACCCAACTAACCAATCCCAAATTTCTTTGTGATGATTGGCAACGACACCCATATCCACTGTGATGGCTACTACCCCGACGTATCCTTACAACTTCAATCAACCACTATAACCATTATGCTTTTGTTCTTCCCATTGCAGGCATTCTTGGCTTATAATGGATTGGATACTTAGGCTCTTTGATAACAGATTTCTCTATTCCCAAGATCACATTTTAACATAAACAACAAACCATTACACTCACTGGAGAACCACTCGCTACCCCCACCGTTGCAAGCTACATCCATCATTTATTACAAAATCAATCTATTGCTTCAATGTACGCCCTCCTGTTTGAACCCTCCACAAAACATCAATCACCACCACCTACGATTGACCCCATCATTCAAAGCCTCCTAAAAGAATACCAACACATTTTTACCACACGCATAAAACTTCCACCGAACCAACCGCATGACCACCACATTCCTCTCCTACCCAACACATCGCCAGTCAACGTGCATGTGACATCCTCTATTTTTCAGAACCAATTAAAACTTTTCTTTACGCTTT